ACCACCGGCGGACGGTCACACGTGTGTCGTATTGCAAACCAAATTTCTTTCAAATTTTGCAGTTTTGGGGAGGATATTGCACGTTAATTGTGTTGCATTCTAAAGTGCAATCACTGCACTAAGGGTGCTGGATTGGCATAGCCATGGGCATCAAGGAATTTCAAGAATTCCTGGAGACGGAATGTTCCAGTGCTTGTGTTTCTGTAGATCTACTGAAAATCTCGAGAACCTTTGTTCCGAAGAGGCGACCTATCGCTCGTCTTGGTCAAGTGGGAACAAATGGTCGCTTCTGTGTTGTTGTGGATGCTGAAAGCTGCTTAGATAGATTGTACGGAGGGTACTTTTCTGATTGGGTTTGCGGTGGACAATGGAATCGTATGACTGCGTTCCTCGCAAACTTGGTTCAAGCTTGCCACAGCGCCAACATGGAGCTTGTTGTTTTCTTCAACGGAGCCTTGGAAAATCAAAAGATTAACGAATGGATGTCACAGCAGCTGACTCAGAGAGACAAAGTTCGTTATGTACTTCGACACATTGCTAACAAAGGGACCCCACCCCCTAAAGTATGGTGGAATCAACCAGTATTTCTGAAAGAAGCACTCAAAATGGCACTTCGTCAGTTATCAGTGACCATTGCTTGCTCCATGGATGACCACCACCAAGAAGTGATTCGATTTTGTAGAGAACATAACCTGCAGGGTATAATTGCACAAGAGTCAATATACACAATCTTTGATCCACCCAGATACTTTTCATCAAACAACTTGAAACTCACCTACAAAGGATCCCTGGAAACTAAAGAATACATCATGGATGAGATTGCAAAGTGCATGAACCTCAACCCAAACAGATTTTGTATTTTTGCTGCATTGCTGGGTAAGTCGAGCTTGAGATTATTGAGGATGACTGAGGTGGGAGGGGCTAGGCTGGGGAAGGGGGGGGGGGGGTTTGCCACTTTTGCCCTTCTTTGGATTTTTTTTGTGTGCACATAATGGGCCTTTGGGCCTTCTGCACTGCAGGCTGTGGATGGTTAGCCTGTAGATCTACACATCTAGCGACAAGCGGATAGCTAGAGAACGACAAATAAACTCCTTTGCAGTCTCGAACTAGATCTAGATCTTGATTAGATCTACTCCATTTGCAGCTCAACGTCGTATTTAGTCCAATCTCTTGTAATTGCTTCATTTCTTGTGCTTACAAAACTTTCAAAGAAACAATCCGGATGGAAACGGTTGATCGTTTGTACTGTGTCGTTGAACGTCGTTTGAACTTGCTTTCTTAATGTCTTAAAAATTAGTCTTTTTCTTCTTCACAGTTCATGTAGTGTACAGCATCAAAATGAATCTAGGCGGAAGAAGGGTGCTGCACAATCACCGACAACTGAACCGAACGGGAGGACTTTTGTAACGAGCGACCACTATGAGACAGAGCAGAATTGAGGGTTAGGGTTAGGCCTCTTTCTTTATTGTGTTTGATGGGGTGGTCGCTTGTTACGGAAGTCCTTCTGAACCGAACAGTTCTGCGCAGCAAGTTGCAAAGAAAATAATCCGAGTCGGTAGGCTGCGGCACTCCTGTACTATTGCGGTCCCGTTAGATCTAATACAGTCCGTGCCAGCTTAAAGCACGTTTCGGACTCAAGCACGCTAAACGGCTCTGACCGAATTTTTGTTATATAAATTATACGCCTTTAAGCACGGTAACTTCGGCTTCAAGCACGCTTCATTTACAAGACAGTCAATATTTTCATGATGACCCATCGAAGTTCGAACACAGGCTATACTGCAGCAGTGGAGTGTGTCAAGAGAAACACAAAGAACGCAAGTGATGGACTCACACGGGCAGAGAGGAAGGCAGATGCACACAGCCGCGCGCGCTGACATAGGATTTAGCTTAGGCCTAGGGCAAAGCTACTCACGACCCAAAAAAATACAGAGAGTCGCGGAGATGAGAAAGGGAGGCTGGCTGCGATTTCACCTATGACCCTCGCTATCCATTAATCCTGATCGAAGTGGCTAGCCGTACTTAAGTACGAAAGTGGCTATTCTCACCCGCCCGGAAGTTCTCGCAAGATCAACTCCTCCCCTCTTCTTTCTCTCTCTGTCTCTTTCTGAATACTGTCTATCGGTGTGGACGATCAAATTGACCAAAACAAAGTTAAAAAATGATGTTAAAACACAAAAGTAAATTAATTTGGTTGTCTACAAAGATGCTACGGCTATTTAACTTTTCGAATCAAGCCGTACTACGCGGGTCGCCATTTTGTTTTGCCCGGAAATTCTCGCGCTACTCCTCTCTCTCTTTCTCTCTCTCTCTCCACTGCCCACAGACAAAATTGTACGCTTTTAGTAGGCTACTACAGTTGTAATGGAACGTTTGTTCACGGCACAGAATTCTACAATTTTTCCTCAGTGTAGAATTCTATGGTTTAGGGTGAACGCAAAATTTGGTGAACGCGCACCGGGTGAGAATAGCCACAAGACTCGCCTGCACTATTCTCACTCCGGGTGAGAATAGAGGTGGCCCTTAAGTACAGCTAGACTGAGAGTCTAGCCGTACTTAGATCTAGGTTTGGCCCAATCGACTCAAGCCTGTTAAGTACACAGGTCTCATTAGATCTAGATCTAGTAATTATTCAGGTTCAAATACATGCAAGTCAGTAAGGCACCTTTTGGTTTTGTCTGAAATACAAATACTTTAGGCATTGCAAACTAAAATTTTCATTTACAATTCAGCCATCAATATTAAGTACGGCTAGACTGACAGTCTAGCCGTCCTTAAGTACGGCGAGCCTGGCTGTCTACCCGTACTTAAGTACGGCTAGACAAGAAGTCTAGCCGTACTTAAGTACGGCTAGACTGCCAGTCTAGCCGTACTTATCTTAGGCCCTATTTACATTAGAAAACAGGAGGTTTAAAATACATGCACTGTCATTAAGGAACCTGGTTTTGTCTCAAATACAAATACTTTAGGTACTGCACACTAAAAATGTATATTTACAATTCAGTAGGCCTTTTTTTTGTAAATGGCCAGTCTAGCCTTCATATTAAGAGAATAATACGGCTAGACTGTGAGTATCACGCACGAGGTGGGATGAAGGCGGTGGTATGAGTGGCACAGCGTGCTTTGGTACGCACAGGCAGTGTGTAGGCCTAGTGTGCTGTATCGTGACTGGCGGTCTAAATTAAGTTTTCATTTTCCATTCGACCACAAAACAAAAACAAGCGAACAAAAACTACCATGGCGGGTGTCTAAATAACAGTGCACACTTTTGCGGGACCGCTATAGGCCTACTTACAAACAAAGGGAAATAGCACGGGAAATTTTCTACATGAAAATCTCTGGATTATGTCTACTTCGCACGCTTCGGCTTTAAGCACGCTTAAGCTTTCTCCCGACGACCGTGCTTATAGCCGGCATGGACTACTAAATCAGAAGGCCACCTCTATTCTCACTCTGGGTGAGAATAGCGCAGACGAGCCTTTTGGCTATTCTCACCCGGTGTGCGTTCACCGTTATAGCCTAGGCCAACCAGTGTTGCGTTCACCCTGAACCACAAAATTCTACACTGTGATAACAGAATTGTGGAATTCTGTGCCGTAAACAAAGGTTCCAGCGCTCTTGTGTTATTACTGTTAGCCTAAAAGCGCTGCAATTTTGTCTGTGGGCAGTGGAAAGAGAGAGAGAGGAGTAGCAGTAGGCTAGCGCGAGAACTTCGGGCAAAATAAAATGGCGACCTGCGTAGTTCAACTCGATTCGAAAAGTTAAACAGCCGTAGCATCTTTGTGGACGACCAAATTAATTTAATTTTGTGTTTTAACGTCATTTTTAACTTTCTTTTAATTGGTCAATTTGATCGTCCACACCGATTGACAGTATTCAGAAAGAGACAGAGAGAGAGGGGGGTGAGGAGTAGATCTTGCGAGAACTTCCGGGCAAAACAAAATGGCGACCCCTGTAGTTCGGCTCGATTCGACGAGTGAAACAGCCCTAGCATCTTTGTAGACGACCAAATTAGTTTACTTTTGTGCTGTCATTTTTTTTTTCTTTTGTCAATTTGATCATCCACACCGATAGACAATATTCCGAAATTAGGAAAAACAGGTCTTGTTTTACACTGGGTGAGAATAGTCTACGCTGGCAAGTCTCACCTGGTGGTGAGAGGTGGATCGTATTTTTATTCTCACCCCGGGTGAGGATAGCCACTTCCAAATCAGAAAGCAAAGACTACTGGATGTCGATACTGATTTGAATATTCAGTATCGATGTTTTATCAGTCGAAGTGGCGGCTAGACTGCCAGTCTAGCCGTACTTAGCTAGGTTTGGCCCAATCGACTCAAACCTGTTAAGTACACAGGTCTCATTAGATCTAGATCTAGTAATTATTCAGGTTCAAATACATGCAAGTCAGTAAGGCACCTTTTGGTTTTGACTGAAATACAAATACTTTAGGCATTGCAAACTAAAAATTTCATTTACAATTCAGCCATTAATATTAAGTACGGCTAGCCTGACAGTCTAGCCGTCCTTAAGTACGGCTAGCCTAGCTGTCTACCGGTACTTAAGTACGGCTAGACTGCCAGTCTAGCTGTACTTATCTTAGGCCCTATTAACATTAGAAAACAGGAGGTTTAAAATACATGCTCTGTCATTAAGGCACATGGTTTTGTCTCAAATTCAAATACTTTAGATACTGCACACTAAAAATGTATATTTACAATTCAGTAGGCCTATTTTTTTAAAATGGTCAGTCTAGCCATCATATTAAGAATAAGTACGGCTAGCCTCTTCCTTTATCAGTAGATCTAGCCAACAAGATGAGCAGTAAAATTTCACTTGTATTTTACAAGACAAGGGGGGTTTCAGGGGTAAAAATTTTAATTTACAATTCAGCCATCAATAATAAGTACGGCTGGCCTGATTGTCTAGCCATCGTAGGGCTTGCCTGCCAGTCTAGCCGTACTTATCTTAGGCCCTATTAACATTAGAAAACAGGTCTCATTAGTCTTTATATTCAGGTTTAAAATACATATACATACACTGACTTTAAGGCACCTGGTTTCGTCTCAAATACAATTATACTTTAGGTACTGCAAACCAAAACATTTTTTACAATTCAGTAGGCCTTTTATTTTGGTCAGTCTAGCCATCATATTAAAAATAAGTATGGCTAGCCCAGCTGTCCAGCCGTCATTAAGTACGGCTAGCCTCTTCCATAATTTTAATTCTGTTTTGATTTAAATAATATTAAGAAGGTAGCCTAATGTGACAAGTGACTCTGTGACAATTAATGCGGTGTTAATTGTGACAGAGTGTTTGTGAAAAAAAAAAAGAAGTTAAAATTAAAACAAAAACAAAACAAACTCACACACACACACGCACACACACCTCACACACACAAACGCACACGCTTCTTATACACACACACACACACACCCACACACCAAACTAACAAAGGGCTCCAAACAAAGACAGTCGCAGCTCTTTTCTTGTTGTTGCCCCTTGTGGTTTTTGTTGCTGTTGTATGCTGCTGATGGTTTGTTGTAGTATTTATTGCCTCAATATTTGGGCTGTGTATAAAATAATGTGTACAGATAAAAGTGAACTCCACTGTACAGAAAATCTTTGTGGATTTTTGCCACACCTTTTAAGTTTGCCTTCTCAACTGTTTCAGATGAGTTTTTCCTAAAGGCAAAAACTTTCTCATCTTTAAATTTAGCAAAAGCTTTCTTTTCGAATTTGTCGTAAGATTTGAATGCCTGCTCTAGAAAGCCTATCTTGTCAGGCGGAGATTAGATAACAGGACCACCACGCTGGGAAGCAAAGCGAAAATGGTAGATCTAGATGTTCGATTTTAAGATTCTAGTCATCAACGTAAAAGAGCTTTGTGTTCACTGTCCCAATTAACGCCGCGTTAGTTGTCACAGCGCGACTTTCGCAATTAACACTACAAAATAAGAAACACACTACAGGGGCACTAGATCTAGATCTAAGTGCAAACGGGACCGCAATTGTACAGGAGTGCCGGAATATTGATCTAGATAGTAGGTCTAGGTATTCTCTTACTTTCCTTCCAGTTTCACAATTAGATGTCTACGGCCGGTCCCAGTGTGGCTCTGTAGGTATAATCTGTGTTTCTTTAAACCGAAACTCACGAGAAAAAACCCCCCACATCTACGGCGAGCACCTAGCACTCCTCTGTGATTGGCCCAAATATAGATGATGTATTTCCGCCATCTATTTTTGTCGTCTTTGGGGGCTTCCCTCGGCAGTTGACAGGATTTCACCGTGGTGGGCTGGCTTTGCTGCTTCATCGCTACGACATCTAGGTTTCATCGCCGCCTGTGTGCGCATGCAGTGCGGGGCATGCATTTGTGTGTGGGAGTGTGTTTTTATTTCAGCATTCTAAAGTTAAACAGTGTATAGTAGTAATGGGTGTCTTGCGAAAATGGTCTTCTGTAGTGATCACGAGGAAAGTTCCTCCTTTTTTAAAATTCTGAGTTGAGACCCATGATTTATAGAACGAGAATTGCTGAGACTTTTAAAAAAGATATGGAGTGTCTACCTTATATGCTTCCTAATTATGCGTTTGCAACAGCACTATATAAACACACACATGCACATAGACTGCCCCGGTGGCCTTTTGGTAAGGAGTCCACCTTGGGAATTTCTTTTAAAAGCACTAAAACACAACAAAAACAAATTTCTTAAGTCAATCCAAGTGTAAAACTGAAAGATCAACAGACGATAACAGCTAGCAAGGCACGCCCACACAGTCAGCTGTTTACGTAAACAAGCTTGAAGTGAGCTAGAAGTTACCATTTTTACTCTGTTTTACCTAGGTTGTTTTCATTTCTGACCATTCATGCTCAAAAAGGGGTCAAAATCTAAAAAAGTTGCGAATAAAGTACGTTGAAGCAAAGATACGCCTCTAGTGGAGAATCTTTGGTTGAAGCAAAGGTGGCCATGAGGTAATGGTTCTAAAAATTTAAAATAATCTCACACTACACACCAACAAGGTCCAAATTCCTTTGTCTTGTCACCCAAGCTCACAATGAACCGCACACACCTCCAAAATAAACCAAAATAAAATATTTAGAGTATTTATAGTTGTTTATTTTTATCTTAAATGAAGCAGAAGACATCACACTTTCAATAGATTTAAAAAAAATAATTTTTTTTTATGGAAAGTTACTTTTTGGCTGGTGTTGGGGACGCGTACGCGTTCGCGTCAATAACACTGGAGTTGAGACCCATGATTTATACACTGGACTGTTCGGGACGCGTACGCTCTTCAATACGCTTCCACAGCACTATTAAAAAAAAAAAAATTATAGTAGAGGGTTTTACGGCGCTCGCAACTGCGTGTTCCACAGCACTACGAAATTATTGACTCGTGTTTTTGTGACTTCGACACTCGTCGACAGTAGTGCGAAAGTTGCTTCAATTGTCCCTTGGATGAGAGAGAGAGAGAGGGAGAGAGAGAGAGAGAGAGAGAGAGAA